CACCTGGCCAAGATCAGCTAGTAAGTTCTTAATTGTTGAAGCTGAATAATGAGTATAGGATTCATTTACACCATATTTGTGTATATTTGAAAAATTTCATAACAAGTTAAAATAACATTGAGGGTGCATTTAAAAAGTGGAAAATAAATGTGCCATTTATTTACACTTTTACAAGTATTTTTTAACATTAAAATAAACATTACATTTTAATTTACCTTTTTACTGAGTCTTTGATTTTCTTTTTCAATTTTCAGGATTTTGGAAGCATTGCCTTCTACAGAATCCACAGTAGTCCGAAGCTCTTCTACAGTTTTTGTCAAACTTTGATTTTCCATCTCTAACTTCAATAATCTACTTGATGTCAACTCATTCACCTCATGGCCCAGGGATTTCTGTGGTGCTATAATATTGAAAAATACACCATTGTATTTACTCTTTACCATTTTTACTATGTTTACTCTTTACTATTTAAAAAGTTCAGTATATATGCATTGCATCATTTGATCCTTAACTTTATTAAAAATTCAATGAGGTTATATAAGATAAACATGATAAGAGAGGTAAATCTTTTTCTCCTTTTCTTTTTTTCTTTTTTTAAAGAGATGGGATCTCTCTCTGTCATCCAGGCTGGAGTGCAGTGATGCGTTCCTAGCTCACTGCAGCCTCAAACTCCTGGTCTGAAGGGATCCTCCCAGTTCAGTCTTCCAAGCGGCTGGGACTACAGGTACAGCCAGCTAATTTTTTTATTTTTTAGTAAAGACTGGGTCTCTGTTACTTAGGCTGGTCTGGGACTCCTGAGCTCAAGCAATCCTCCTGCCTTAGCCTCCCAAAGTGCTGGGATTACAGGCATGAGCTGCTGCACCCAGCCAAGAGATGAATCTTTAACTTTTAATGCATCCACAGCATTCTAGTGAAAAAAAGCATAAAATTTAGATTGAAGAAACTGGAGTTCAAGTAGACCCATTAAATATTTTGCTGATACAAGAACATTAGGATTTACAAATGAAAGATGAGACCTACTATTTCAAGAAAGGAAATGAATAAAGGCACTGGAGGGAATTTCCAGTGTATGCTTTTGTGTATGTTTCAAATTCTTCTTCATAAAAACCAAAGAAACACATGCACATCCAACATATCCCCCACCATGTATCAAATCTCTTCAAAATTAGATAAGTAAATAACCTCCATATTTAAGTAAGGAAAACCTCAATTTTTATTTCCAGCTTTTCTAGTCATCATGTTGTTAATCTTTTACTGAAAGCTGGCATACTGAATAGTTACTGACTTTTAACATTCCATTAGTTGCCCAAGTCTTTTTTTAAATTAAAAGATTATTTAAATTTAACTATAAACTTACAGGATACATTATTCTAAGTAGCAACTAATGAAGGATTAAACGAATTTTGAAAATACAATACTACTTGTTTTATTTTGGCTAAAAGTTCAAAATGAATATTCTGAGCATGCTGAAATTATTTTAAAATCTTTAATCCACTTCCATTCATTATCCCTTTATAAATCTGATTCTATCTTAAGATATCTATTAAAACACAGTATAGAGTTTAAATATATAATATTCCCCAACAGTAGCATTACTGTTAATCTACCTGGATTAGGTGTTTTTAAATAGTCACCATGATAAGCAATAGATCTCTTGAAATTATTCCCATCTAAGTGAAATCTTGTGTCCTTTGACTAACATCTTCCCTATACCCTCAACCCCTCAGCCTCTGCTAACAACCATTTACTCTGTTTCTATGAGTTTGAATTTTTTTGATACCACATATAAATGAGATCATGCACTATTGTCTTTCTGTACCTAGCTTATGTCACTTAACATAATGCCCTTCAAGTTCATCCATATTGTTGCAAATGACAGATTTTTTTTTTTTTTTTTTTTTTTAGCTAAGTCTGTTTTCAATTTTATTAATTTTTTTTTTTTTTTTTTTTTGAGACGGAGTCTCGCTCTGTCACCCAGGCTGGAGTGCAGTGGCGTGATAGTGGCTCACTGCAACCCCACCTCCCAAGTTGAAGAGATTCTCCTTCCTCAGCTTCCCAAGTAGCTGGGATTACAGGAACCTGCCAGCATGCTCGGCTAATTTTTGTATTTTTAATAGAGATGGGGTTTCACCACGTTGGCCAGGCTGGTCTCAAACTCCTGGTCTCAGGTGATCTACCATCTCAGCCTCCCAAAGTGCTGGGATTACAGGCGTGAGCCACCATGCCCGGCCAAACATTTTTTTTTTTTTTTTTGAGACAGAGTCTCACTCTGTCGCCAGGCTGGAATGCAGTGGCACAATCTTGGCTCACTGCAACCTCCACCTCTTGGGTTCAAGTGATTTTCCTGCCTCCGCCTCCCAAGAAGCTGGGATTACAGGCGTGCGCCACCATACTCAGTTAATTTTTTTTTTTTTTTTTTTTGTATTTTAAGTAGAGACAGGGTTTCACCATGTTGGCCAGGATGGTCTTGATCTCTTGACCTCGGGAACTGCCTGCCTCGGCCTCCCAGAAGTGCTGGGATTACAGCCATGAGCCACCACACCTGGCACCCCCCCCTTTTTTTCTTCCTGGGACAGAGTCTCACTGTGTCACCTAGGCTGGAGTGCAATAGGGTGATCTCAGCTCACTGCAACCTCTGCCTCCCAGATTCAAGAGGTTCTCCTGCCTCAGCCTCCCAAGTAGCTGGGATTACAGGTGCACGCCACCATGCCTGGCTAATTTTTGTATTTTTAGTAGAGATGGGGTTTCACCATATTGGTCAGGCTGGTCTTGAACTCCTGACCTCGTGATTCATCTACCTCAGCCTACCAAAGTGCTGGGATTACAGGTGTGAGCCACTGCACCTGGCCAGAATTTCATTCTTTTTTTTTTTTTTGAGACAGAGTCTCGCTTAGTCGCCCAGGCTGGAGTGCAGTGGCGCGATCTCGGCTCACTGCAAGCTCCGCCTCCCGGGTTCACACCATTCTCCTGCCTCAGCCTCCCCAGTAGCTGGGACTACAGGCGCCCGCCGCCTCGCCCGGCTAATTTTTTGCATTTTTAGTAGAGACGGGGTTTCACCGTGTTAGCCAGGATGGTCTCGATCTCCTGACCTCGTGATCCGCCCGCCTCGGCCTCCCAAAGTGCTGGGATTACAGGCATGAGCCACCGCGCCCGGCCTCATTCTTTTTATGACTAATATTCCATTATGTATATAAAACACGTTTTCTTTATCCATCATTTCATTGACACAGATTGATTCCATATCTTGACATTTGTGAATAATGCTGCAATAAGCATGGGAATACAGATATCTCTTTGATATACTGATTTAATATCCTTTAGATATACACCCAGGAGCAAAACTGCTGAATGCTATGAGAGTTCTATTTTTAATTTTTTGAGGAACCTCCACACTGTTTTCCAGAATGGCCGAACCAGTTTACATTCCCACCTATTCCATAGAAACTTGAAAGCACAACTACTGCAAACTTTTATACTAGGTAATTATTAAACACACTGGCGTTTAAAAAACTTCTAAGATACTTTTAACTTTCCTAAGACACATGGGTTAGAAAATGAGATAGAAAAGTTCTGAAGCAAATTTTCTGAAATTCTGTAAATTTTCTAGAAAGTCCCTTGTATAATTTAAAAAATAAAAACTACACCACAGTAAAGCAAATATTCAGTTCTACAACCCCAGCTAAGATCAATTACAAAACAACAGTGACAGAATAATAATGATATTTAATACTTAAATGCTTACTATTTACCAGGCACTATTTAAGGGCCTCACAAATACCAACAATTTAATCCTCAGAAGTCTAGACTAACAGAGTAGTAATTCTTAATTAACAGAGTAATTCTAACTACCTTTAGTAGAAAATATTTAAGTCTGAATTGCTTTCTTTGTAACTCAATTCACAAGGAATATAATTTTTAAAGTTTCACAAATATTTTAAGTAACACGGGTTCAATGACTGAATATCATCACTTACTCTATAGTCGGTACATGGGGCCCCAGAATTTGGTATTCGATTCTCAAGTGTACAATAGGAAGAACCTAATTGGTAATCAATGGGTGGAATCATCTATAGAGGTAATTATTCTGTAAGCACCAGATTATAAAATTTCAAGAGTTTATGTCTACCTTAACAGTACATCCTCGGTGTCTGGTATAGTATTTTACACACGATAGGTGCTTAGTAAGTATTTGCTGAAGAAATGCAAGTAGAACAATCTAACACTGAGCAAAACTGACGAGTTTTGAAACTAGTCTAATTTGAATAAATGTGACCTAACTGGTAAATTTTTTT